GCACATTTCATGGGATTGTTTTAAGAAGAGGAAGAAACAGAATGATGACCAGACCAGGGGGTTGCTGCTCCTTTCTTTGCCCAATTACAAGCCGGGGCCATTGCTAGACCAAGCAGTATTTCTTAACAGTAGTGTAGAATGCAGGCAGGTCATAGAGAGTTTAGGAACTGGCAGTGTACAGAATTAGATTGTTTGGACAGATCATATATGTATCGGGCACTCTTTACCAGGGGCAGACTGACAACTCATGGGGCCCCCAGGCAATAGGGGATCATGAGGCCCCTGTGTCCTTGCCCAAACTCAAAAAAGCCTATGATAAAGGTACCAAGGGCATCTTTTGGGGCCCCTCCTGACCCCGGGCAGTGCCCGAGTTTCCAAATGGTCAGTCCGCCCCTGGTTATGAGCATTCCAAAGCCTGTATAGATGTATCTACTGCTAAAGTGGCCACCTCCTCTATTTATAAGACTACAACAACTCTGTAGTTACTGTTTATTATGTAAACATTGTGACAGCATGTTGTTGCAGGCATTGAGCCGTTCCGTCATATATTCATGGACCTTTCAGGGCACCAAAGAAGTTCCAAAACCTGTGGTGCTGTAATATACAAGGTTGGCTTCTACTATTAAATTGATGATTGGCCATACCTCTTTGCATCATGATTGGCTGATCAATTTCATTGGTGGTGGTGGTCTTACTGACCAATTGTGAGGTACAGGAGGGGTGGGTCTATGTACTGACTTCCTTATGGAATCCCTGTCCGTTTTAGGGCTCACTTCACTCTGTCAATCAACAATGACTATTTTTAATTCTTATACTGCTAGCATTAGTAATTAGATAAGAAAGTATATCATATTTACTCATTTTGAGATTTTTTTTTTACCTTTTTTTTTTTCGTTACTTCCTGGTTTCTAGGCCAAGGCAAATTATGTCATACTTCCCAGGATCCTTCAGGAGGGGAAAAAGGGTTTTCTCAGCCAAGCACGCCATCCTTCCTTTATGCCTGAGACAGATTTCAGGAAATAAATGCTACATGAAACATCTTCCCTTCCTCAAGATAACCACGTCCAGAAATGCTAGAGGGATGTTTTTCAAAGTCTTTTCTCAGCCAAAGAAAATCATGGAGCCGTGGATGGATGAGGGCATTTACTTTGAATATTAACATGAATTAAATAGTGTTTTTGGTTTGCGGTGCTGAGATAATGTAGTTACTTCCTCAAACTCAATCTTTCCAAAACTGAGCTCATACTATTCCCTCCAGCCCATGCTCCCTCCCCTGACTTCTCCATCAAGATCAATAACACAATCATCAGTCCCTCCCCTCATGCCAGGGTACTAGGTGTAATCCTAGACTCCCATCTGTCCTTTCAGCCCCAAATCCAAATCTTGTAGACTCCACCTCCACAACATCTCCAAGATACGCCCGTTCCTAACCTCGGAAACCACTAAGCAACTTATTCACTCCCTTGTTATCTCTCGCCTTGACTATTGTAACTCCCTCCTCATTGACCTACCTCATCGCAGGTTATGCCCTCTTCAGTCTATCATGAATGCTGCTGCCAGACTCATCTACCTTACTAACCATTCTGTATCTGCCACCCCTCTCTGCCAATCCCTCCACTGGCTTCCCATTGCCCAACGGATAAAATTCAAAACATTAACAACAACATATAAAGCCATTTATAACTCCACCCCAAATTACATCACCAATCTTGTCTCCAAATATCACCCAAACCGTCCTCTCTGCTCCTCGCACGACCTCCTGCTCTCTAGCTCCCTTGTCTCCTCCTCGCATGCTCGTCTCCAGGACTTCTCCAGAGCCTCCCCCATCATGGAACTCTCTACCCCAATTTATCAGACTATCGCCTACTCTGCTACTCTGCTCACCTTTAGGCGATCTCTGAAAACCTATCTCTTCAGGGAAGCCTATCCTGCCCTCAGCTAATAATGGAATCTTCTACTCCTCCTACCAATCCATCCCCCACAGTTACTACCTTTTGTACCACTAGCCCCTCCCTCTTAGATTGTAAGCTCCAAGGAGCAGGGCCCTCCTAACCCTCTTGTATTGAACTGTATTGTTGCTGTATTGTCTCCCGTTATATTGTACAGCGCTGAGCAAACTGTTGGCGCTATATAAATCCTGTATACTAACAATAATAATATTATTTAGTTATATCTTTTACAATTATTCATGTGGAAGGACCTTCCAGCCCAGACAAATGGTTCAACGGGGATGCTGGCTGTCAGAATCACTTGCTGATTACTTTCGGGACACCAATATTAGATCTCAGTGCAGGAGATCCTTGTTTCCCCACTTTTTGAAAAATCTCACTTTTCCTGCTTTATTTACAGTACTGTATCATAATGTATTCTGTATGTAACCCACACCTTGTAAAACAACCCATTAAATTTAAAATAGAAATTCATGGTAAAAAAAATCTGTATAAATATAAAAAAAAAATATAAACACCCCCCCCCCCCCCTTTTTTTTTTATAAGTGATCATATTCTTCTTTCTGTTCTCAGCTGCAAGGGAGCTGAGGGAGGAGAAACACCATTACACTGAATTTCCCAGTGAATGGCTGTGTGGGGGGTCAGGACATTATTGGAGTAGAGTTGACTGAGTTCCCAGCACAGCTAGAGAACTGACCACAATGTGTTCTCCTGCTTAGTGTGGTTAGTTTTTAATAGGAGAGCAAAGTGACTGTCAGGAACATCAGGGATTTCACACAAAGGAAGCAATACAAAGAGAGCAGGATATTCTTTCATACAAGTATATGGTAACAGCAGGCACATATCAGGAATATGAAATGTTGGGTTTACATATTCTTTAAAGATCTGGAGATAGTGATACCAGTGCTGGGACAAGGTCATCTAGAGCCCAGGGCAAAGATGCCAAATGACGCTTCCCCAAAATGTATGAGCATTATTTGTCAGCACAAATCACCCCCCCCCAAAAAAAAATTAGAGCACTATAGGGGGGCTATAGAGGGCTATAGGATTGCAGAGATGGGACTCCGCACTAGGGATGCCACTAGCTGTCAGACTGCCACTGTGCACTGTTTGCTTACCCTCCCCCTACCCATGTTCTTTGCTGGAAGGAGATGGGGGAAGGCAAACAAACACTGCACAATGGCGATCTGGCACCGACCCAGAAAAGCTGCAGTGGCAGGAAGAGGAGCTGGAGGGGAGAGAGAGCCCAACCTGTCCCTCCTCCCGGCTCTCTCCTCCTCTCCAGATCTGACTTGTCTCCTTCAGCGCTAAGCTACCAGTAGTGAAGCTGCCGTCACTACTCCTGTCAGCTTGGATGTAAGATCTCTCCATGTGGTGCCCCCCCCCACTCACATGATACCACCACGCCCAGGGCAGCCACCCCTTGTCCCAGCCCTTGGTGACACCTTGATTGATTGTGTATATGTGGCTGAAGTCGGGAAATTAGGTGCAGGAATCTTGCCGTTTTAATTTTCCTGAGAAATACAGTATAAAGCTGCAGGTTAAGTTAATAGGTAATAGTGGACTGAGCCTTTAAAATGAGAAAATATCTTTCTTGATTTATAAATACTAGACGAGGGCATCTTGTGTAGTACAAAAATGTTGTGCTGTATAATTTACTGTACGTTATGCAGGGAAATGTATACTATGTTTGTTATTTTTGCCCCTACAGTCTTTAATAAATAAAAGAAAAAATGTTGTATGGTTTTATTGTATTGGTGCTATTCATGTGAGCTTCAGGTGCATCCAGCAGAAGAAGATTATACAAATATTTTAGAGCCTGTTCCAGGGGCGGACTGACAACTCATGGGGCCCCCGGGCAATAGGGGATCATGGGGCCCCTGTGTCCTTTCCCAAACTCAAAAAAGCCTATGAAAAAGGTACCAGGGGCATCTCATGGGGCCCCCTACTGACCCTGGTCCCTCGGGCAGTGCCCAAGTTTCCAAATGGTCAGTCCACCCCTGGCCTGTTAACACCAGTGGCTGCGTTACATTTCACTAAGGCTGGATTCACATTTGAACGTAGCAACTTTAAGTGTTTTTGCACATTTTTTCTAGCAATCTTTGTGCATTTTTGCACATTTCATACAGCGTTTATCAGGTGATTTTGAGCTTTGGCATTTTTTTATTAGCCAATAGAGAAAAATATCATCTGTGGCATCATTTATTACTAGGATTTTTTTAGCTTTTCCATCAGCTTTAATTACTTTATTTATTATTATTCATTTATTAACTTTTTTTGTTAGGGTAAAGGGTTAGAATTAAGGTTAGGTTAGGGCAGGGGTCCTCAAACTACGGCCCACGGGCCACATGCGGCCCGCCGAGGCCATTTATCCGGCCCGCCGGCAGGGGCGTATTTTCCACGAAGGGACACTAAGTACAGGGGCGGGCAGGGGGCTGCTATACCTTACCTGGCTCCGGTCCCAGTCCCACGACGATCCAGTCCAGGAAGCGCTGCTCCTTCATTCACTCCGGCCACTCCCTCACTCCTGCCGCTCAGCTCCACCTCCTCACCGGTGATTGGGTGCCAGAACTGTAGCTCAGGAAAGGCACACAGGCGGCCAATCACCTGCGAGGAGGCGAGCCTAGCGGCCCCGTGAACATCGAGTGAGGGAGAGGCCGGAGTGAAGAAGGACAGCTGACAGGTAAGTGTGCCGTGCTGATGGTGCTGCTGCAACCAGGTATGCTGGCTGCAGCAGCACCATGCTGGAGCAGGGGTCAGCAGGTTAAGTGTCATTGGTGTCAGTGGTAGGAATAGTGCCCCATCATTGGTGTCACTGATAACTAATGATGGGGCATTATTCCTCCCCCCCACTGACACCAACGATGGGGCACTATTCCTCCCCCCACTGACACTAATGATGGGGCAATATTCCTCCCCCCCCCACTGACACCAACGATGGGGCACTATTCCTCCCCCCCACTGACACCAACAATGCGGCACTATTCCACCCCCCACTGACACCAACGATGGAACACTATTCCTTCCCCCACTGACACCATTGATGGGGTACTATTCCTCACCCCCACTGACACCAATGATGGGGCACTATTCCTCCCTCCCACTGACACCAACGATGGGGCACTATTCCCCCCCACTGACACCAACGATGGGGCACTAATCCTCCCCCCCCCGCTGACACCAACGATGGGGCACTATTCCACCCCCCACTGACACCAACGATGAAACACTATTCCTTCCCCCACTGACACCAATGACGGAGTACTATTCCTCCCACTGACACCAATGTTGGGACATTATCCCCCCCCCACTGACACCAATGACGGGGCACTATTCCCCCCCACTGACACCAATGACGTACTATTCCTCCCACTGACACCAAAGATGGGGCACTATTCTTCCCACTGACACCAATGATGGGACACTATTCCTCCCACTGACACCAATGTTGGGACACTATCCTCTTCCCCCACTAACACCAATGACGGGGCACTATTCCCCCCCCCCACACTGACACCAATGATGGGGCACTATTCCTCCCCCCACTGACACCAACAATGGGGCACTATTCCTCCCCCCACTGACACTAATGATGGGGCACTATTCCTCCCACTGACACCAATGATGGGGCACGATTCTTCCCACTGACACCAATGATGGGGCACTATTGCTCCCACTGACACCAATGATGGGGCACGTTTCTTCCCACTGACACCAATGATGGGGCACGTTTCTTCCCACTGACACCAATGATGGGGCACGTTTCTTCCCACTGACACCAATGATGGGGCACTATTCCTCCCACTGACACCAATGACGGGGCACTATTTCGCTCCATATAACACGCTTGGAGGGAAATGTCTGTGCGTCTTATGGAGCGGCAGGCCCAGTATTCCCACCGCTGTTGTATGTCTCTGGTCATCTCCTGTACTGTGTCCGCATTTGTTCATAGTTTTTTTTTTTTTAAACTATAGTCCGGCCCTCCAACGGTCTGAGGGACAGTGAACTGGCCCCCTGTTTAAAAAGTTTGAGGACACCTGGGTTAGGGTGAGGATTAGGGGTTGGGGTTAGGATTTAGGGGCTAGTATTTTATTTATTGCCTTCTTATTTTTATTTTATTTAGGGTGATAATAATAATAAAATAATAAATACAGGTAGAATAAATAAAATAAATACACAAATAAATAGAAATAATCATAAATAAATAAAATAAATGAATAATATATAATAATAATAGTAATAATAAATAAATAAATAATTAACCCCTAACCTTCAAGTGGTTCCAGGTTTTTTGTGTGTAGTGGCCCCCCCCAGCTCCCCCAACACTTACCTGAGTTCCATCCTGATCCAGCGATGTCCACGAGAGCCTTGGTTCTCCGGGGATTCTCACTCCTGATTGGCTAAGGCAGCAGTGGGTGCCATTGGCTCCCAGTGCTGTCAATCACAGCATGTGAGCCAGTCAGGAGAGGGAGGGGGGCAGGTGTGAATCAACACTCAGAACCGCGGCTTGGGAGTCAGGCTGATGCGTTTCGAAGGGAGTCCATTCTTCATCAGAGCTCACTAGACAATGATGTGGTAAAAAACATTAGAAACATTCAACGCATTAAAAAATGCTTTTTTTTTCAATGCGTTGAATGTTTCTAATGTTTTTTACAACATCGAATTATGTTTTACTCTATTGTTGTTATATTGGCATGTTCTGATGACACCTTAGCCCCTCCTCCTTTTCCGGGACTGCCCAGCCCAGGTCGGAGGGTCTAATTTCAGTCCCAGGGTATATATGGTGAGGCTAGTCAGCTCTGATGAAGAAGGGACTCCCTTCGAAACGCGTCAGCCTGACTTTGAAAATCTTTCCTCGTGATAAGACTCGCATTGGTCTCACACTCCTAGAGTTTTGTTGAGGATCTTATACGCTTATTATACTTCTCTGTTTTTGAGTGTATTTTTAAATTCAATAAAATCACATTTTAACGAGGTAATGCGCAAGGTTGGTGCGCTTTCTTTTTGTTTTGCTTTACACGACTTGCATAGACACCTGTGCACAGATGTCTGCTAAGTTGCACCTGAAGTCACACTGCCATGCGACTTTAAAATCGTGGGATTTTAAGTGAAGTCGCAATATTTCAAAGTCAGATCCACTATGAACCAGGGCTTAATCTTTAACTTGGCTTTCTTCATCAACCATAGAAGTGTCTCTTTCATTCTTCTGGTGTGCCCAAACACAGTGGCGTCCCTAGACAGGTGCGGGGGGTGCGCGCCGCATCAGGTGACACCTACCGCACGGGGTGACACCGGACCCATTCCACGAAAAGCTAAGTTGTAAAGCAAGCCGACGATCCCCGCAGAATGGATCTGTGGAGTCCGATCCATTATGCTCCCCAATCCGCAGATCCGATCCATCCTGTGGGGATGGTCGGATTGTTTTACAACTTACCTTTTCGTGGAGTGGGTCCATAATGGATGGGAGTCCGATACATTATGCTCAATCCGCAGATCCGATCCATTGTGCGGGGATTATTGGAGGGGGTGTCACCAAGTGTTATCGCACTGGGTGACACCAACCCTAGGGACGCCTCTGCCCAAACATACACATTAATATCCATTGTGGTAAGGCAGCCTATTCATTTTGAATGATATGCTAATGCACCACAGCTCAGGTTATAGGGAAACTGTACTATCTTTGCAACCAGGGGTGGACTGACAACTCATGGGGCCCCCAGGCAATAGGATATCATGGGGCCCCTGTGTCCTTGCCAACACTCAAACCACACCCAAAAAAGCCTCTGAAAGGTACCAGGGGCATCTCATGGGGCCCCCTACTGAGCCTGGGCCCTGGGGCAGTGCCTGAGTGCCTAAATGGTCAGTCTGTCCCTGTTTGCAACAGTGTGCCTGGAAACATGGTATGTGCATCATGGTGTACTGCAGTGTGGGTGCATTGCCAGCTACTTGACCTGTGTATTGGAGTGCTATTCTAAATGAATACACTGCACAATGTTCCATGGATTCACATGTATTGTAGTAACAAAATAAAATTTGTGAAACCAGCACAAATATAAGAGAAGGCAGTGTTAGCTGTTGAAGTAAACCTTTCTTAGGAGAAATATGGGGACAATTATTATCAACCTTCTTCTGAAGATGCTAGTTACCTGACTGGTTTTCTAATCAGCTGAGTTCAGTAGTTTCTGAGTAACTTACCAATATATATATGCAGTAGTAAAGCATGAGTGTCAGCAAAGACAGTCAGCAAGCTAGAATTTACAGAATGAAAAATCAGACATAGGACAGGTTCACACCATGAATTGTACAGGAAAGCAGTGTGATTTCAGCCCATTCATTTGAATGGGCTGAAATTGCACCGGACCACACCAAAAGTAGTGTATTCACTACTTTAACCACTTCAAGTCCAGACACTTTTACCCCCTTCCTGTCCAGGCCAATTTTCATCTTTCAGCGCTGTAACACTTTGAATGACAATTGCGCAGTCATGCAACACTGTACTCATATGATTTTTTTAGCATTTTTTTGAGACAGATAAAACTTTATTTTGGTGGTATTTATTCACCACTGGGATTTTTTTGCTATAGAAATGAAAAGTCCAAAAATTTTGAAAAAAAGTGTTTTTCTTCCAAATTAGGTTATAACCAAAAATTATAATTTTTCAAAACTTTTTTTTACATTTCTATTTTTTTTATATTTTTATTAAAGGCTGTAAAATCAATCATTTCTCCTTTCTGGCTGCATTCTTGCAGCCATTGAGAAATACTGTGAGAGCTGTGATTAATCACAGCTTGTCGCATGGTACAAGGCTGTTGTGAATAGCCTTGTACCATGTGATCTCTGTGATTATTCACAGATTTCACACGTAGTAAGCAATTATGTCAGAAGTGACATCTTCTTACTACTATTCATGTGATCACTGATTGGCCAATCAATGATCACATGATTGGGACCTCACACAGAGTACAGCGATTGGTGTTCCGCTGTGTCCAGAGGACCAGATCGTGGTGCCATGTGCTCCCAGGGAGCACGCACAGGCTGAAAATGTGGGTGCCGTTTATGAACGGCAACCCAACCGCTCCTGCACTGCTCCCATCCGGCCGTTTATATACATGGACTGGACGGGAAGTGGTTAAAAAACTCACAGCAACCAGGTTGCATGGTACTACTGTACCATACAATCTGGTGCAGGAAGACACACTCCATTTGCAATCTGTGTTTGGGGTGTCATTAGCATTGCACTGACACCCACTGCAGATCACAAGTGCAGGGCGTTTTGAACGTGGTGCTGGAAACACGCATGAAACACAGGTTTCCCTCACTGTGTTGTGGTGTGAACTGGCCTTTATTGTTTCCTCTGTAAGGTTTCCTATATTTGGTAAAGTATTCCAGCAGTTGTCCATCAGAATAAAAGTTGATGGTGTAAAGTAACAATGTATCTCAAACAAAATAAAAGTGCAACATTGGCCAGGCTATGGATGATCAAATATTTACATACCATAACAAGCCATAAATGAGCTTTAAACAAGCCCTCTCTGAGCTCAGTAGTTGAAGGCACTGTGGAGCAATGACTTATATGCTTCTCTTGTTCATTTTAAGGATTAATTTCTTCACAGTGATGCAGCTACAGAGGGAAGTGAAGTCTTATTTTACAGTTCAATTACACAGCTTCACTTTTACATTTCAAGCTTTAGGTCAGATTTCTACCTTTGTGCTGTCATAATGTGTAACAGTTTTTTTTTATTGTAACTGTAAATCATGATTCACAATGCATTGGAGTTCAATTCATTTTGAAATACAGCAGCAGAAGACATACCCATACTGCAACTTACCACAAAGCACAGCCGAATGGGCCCTAAATGATACACCAGAATAGGGTTAACCCGTAAGATACCTGCTACAAGCACTTATAATAGCCAAATGGTGTGATGTGTGTGCCGCGTAGGAGATGACCTCAGACCTATCCAGATCTTGAGAATATTACATAAAGCAGAGAGACTGAAGTCATGTGTATTGTTGTAACACTGCAGCCTGTCTTTGAGATCACAGCTACCTAAACATATGGTGAGCTAAACCTGGACTCAGAGTCAAATGAGATCTGTATTCAGCTGTTGTTTTATCAGCTGACTGAATCAGTATGTTTCGGGTAGCCAGGGTGTGTTAGCCCTGCCTGGAACTGTCTAGAAAATGGAACTTGTCAGTTGGGGAAACAAATAGTGGTTCTAGTAGTTCAACTGTTTGTTTTTATTTTTTTTTCATTTTTATTATTGTTTTTTAAGGATGCATGCAGAAGATTCTAAAGTTCTTATCTGGCCTTGGGTATTGGGTTAATAATCGGATTTTTTTTATGAACGCTTTAAGGCAAAAAAAAAAGTCCTACATGCATGGATTTTCCTTGAGCTCTCTGCAATCGGGACTGTACACAAGTGGCAGTTATAGTTAGGTTTGGATGATTCTTGCAGTCATTCTGGCAGAATACAGATGTGTACAGATTACACATGACAAACAGTAACAAACAAAAACTTTTTGAGCAGAACATTTGGCTAATAATGCCCAGTGAAAAAAATGCTTTCAGAATGTGTAATGAATTTATCCAAATTACAACTAAACACAAAAAAAGAAAAAATATTGAAAAGGCAATTATGGCTGCCCCCGTGTACAGTCTCAGACTGTACTGAGTTTTTATATCAAACTCATTGATAAGTCTATTATACTGTTAAGATACCATTGATAGTGAAAAATTGCTTGATTCCACTAGAAATCTTGTGAGCTGAAAACTTCCTGCGCTGAAAACTTCCTGTGTCTCTGCCTCTTCTGCATTCTTATCTGTTTCATTTTTTCCAGTTGTCTCTGTGGATTACAGAACACCTCCTCCTTATGAGGAAGAAGCAGTCCTGTTTTAGAATTACATTTCTGCTCCCCCATACTGTACAGTGACTGAGCATTGTCGCCCAAGGACTGGATGTGTGTTACCAGCGGGATTACCAGGTAAAAATACTCGGTAAAAAAATGAAAAAAACTGAAATAAGGAAATGAATGCAGCCACCACATCTAAGAACTGGTAAGCTGTAAGATAATAATTTTTTCTTGATTTCAGACAGACTTTAACAAAATGTTTTTGAATGTGGATAGATACCATCATTTTGATAGTTGTTACTTCTGAACATGGTGGATGAACACTTTTGAACATACATTTTCTCCATTGTCCACTGGGGGATCCAGGGATTCAAACAGTCCAGTTATACTGCAACCTGAAGGAGACTAGGACACTGACCAACTGTTTCTGAATCCGTATGCCCTTCAATGGATGCAAAGAAAAAGATTTTACAATAGGCGAAGAAAAATCTTGTTATTCCTTTCAGAGATAGTTAACATCTACGCACATAGTTACATAGTTAATCTGGCTGAAAAATGCCAAAAGTCTATCCAGTTCAACCATAAAAAAAAAAAAGTTATAATCCTATACCCACAGTTGATCCAGAGGAAGGCAAAAACAAAACAGCAAAGCATGATCCAATTTGTTCCTGCTGGGAAAAAAATCCGTCCTGATTCCCCGAGAGGCAATCGGATATTCCCAGGATCAACTTTATCTGTAATTGTTAGTATCCAGTTATATTCTGTGTATCTAGGAAAGAATCCAGGCCTTTTTTTGAAGCAATCCACTGAGCTGGCCAGAACCAACTCTTGAGGGAGTCTATTCCACATTTTCACAGCTCTTACTGTGAAGAAACCTTTCTGTGTTTGGAGATTAAATTTCTTTTCTTCCAGATGTAGAGTGTCCCCTTGTCCTCTGTGATGACCTCAGGGTGAATAGCTCTACACCGAGTTCACTATATGAACCACTGATGTATTTATACATGTTGATCATATCCCCCCTTAATCTCCTCTTCTCAAGAGAGAATAAATTCAGTTGCTGTAATCTTTCCTCATAGCTGAGCTCCTCCATGCCTCTTATCAGTTTAGTTGCCCTTCTCTACACTTTCTCCAGTTCCCCAATGTTCTTTTTGTGAATTGGTGCCCAAAACTGAACTGCATATTCCAGATGAGGTCTTACTAATGATTTGTACCGGGGTAATAAGATATCTCTCTCTCTGGAGTCTATACCTCTTTTAATACAAGAGAGGATTTTGCTCGCTTTAGAAACCGCAGCTTGGCATTGCATGCCATTATTAAGCTTGTGATCTACCAGAACACCCAGATCCTTCTCCACCATTGATTCCCCCAGTTGTACCCCCCCTAGTATGTATGATGCACATGCAGTAGTTAAGGTTTAGTAAATATGTACTATATAGCCTGTGTGCTGCTATTCATTCCATTGGATTTATAATGTGCACTACTGTAGAAAGAATAGTGCATGGATATATTTTTACACCTTTATAAAAACTTCCATATCTCCACCCTGATAAGCCTCCTTTACAGGAGGGAGATGCACACTCTGTCCAAGTTGGTCAGATTTGCCTATTAGCAGCCTGAGACTACATTATAGTTAGGGACTTGCATTACTCTATTAAGTTGACAGTCTGCATTCTGTGTGTGATTCCTTTGTAGTGTATCTGGCAGCTTTGTTTAGAAACGACTAAACATAGAAACATTGTCAGTGACTATTGCTGCCAACATATGTGTCATTAATCTCTAGAGAGGATTCATTCGCTCCTTTCAAGATATATGGTAGCACACAAAGATGTGCCAAGCCTTCAGGGAAACCAGAAGATTATTATTAGTCTGGAATATAGAGCCAAGAGCAGTGCCTCTAAAACCCACATACCCATGCAACTTGATAAAGGTTATTTAAATGATGATATTGCTTGATCATGTAATAATGATTTTACCTTTTAGCTGTAATTGATGGGAGCTTACTTACACATTCTTCATTATAAAACGTATTGCAACAAGAGCCATCTGAATTAAATAAAACAGTAACAGATGAGTAACAGTCAAGTTGTAAACTGTCAAATAAAACCTTTCATTGTGCCCCAATCCTCCTTTTCTCATATATTGAGCATAATATTCCAGATTCACAAAAAAGATAAAACCAAAGAATATCCACCATTAAACAGTTTTAAGTAGAACAAATGTTACCATTGGAAAATTTCACACTTATTCCTGTTCTGATGACAACTGAAAATGTTGGATTTTCCCTTACTTTCATTCCTGGTGACAATGGTCACCGGGACATAGGGGAACCTGCTCAGTCAAGAGAGAGAGCAATAGAAACATGACAGAAGTTCTTATCTACTGTTTAAAACATTGCCTTTTTATACACTTTAATACTCCTATGCTGCCTGTTTATTGTAAGCAGTTCTCAGCTGTCAGACAGTGTCTACCTTTCCTAAATCACATGTATTGATATAACAATAGATCCTATATAACACAATGCCATATTTTGTTTTTCAAAATAAAATATAACTGTTAATTACAAAAAATAGCCTTTTAACTAAGCTTGCTAAATAACAATTAGAAACTGTTTTAATTTTTTGTTGTCTATTTGACAATTCTAGATATTTATTATGATTACAGTGAAAATATATCTTGGTGCATTTTCATATGTATTCTCTCTGTGCTTGTAGTCCCTTCTAGTGAATAAAACCTACAGTTGTTTCTTTCAGTCTGTGACAGCTGCAGGAGCAATTCCTTTTTCCAAATTGGCCGACCAAATTCCATATTGTGAGAGGCTGTACCTATATTTAGCTGGTGGGCTTAAATTGCACAGAGCCTAAGCTTGCCAGAGTTCACAGATCAGCCCTTTTGCTGCTGGACTTGAGAGCTGACAAGAGCTATACAGCCTCTCCGCTTTCTCCCTCAACACTTACTCCATCCATAAAAAATGGATCCCACCCGAGAACTGAAAGAAGAACTCAGACTTTATCAGTCTACACTCCTTCAAGATGGGCTGAAAGAACTTCTTGATGAAAATAAATTTGTTGATTGCTTCCTGAAAGCTGGAGACAAGACCCTTCCATGTCACAGGCTCATCCTAGCAGCTTGCAGTCCCTATTTTCGGGAGTTCTTTTTGTCTGATGAGAGTGAAGAGAAGAAAAAAAATCTTGAGTTGGATAATGTTGACCCAAATGTCATGGAAGCCATTCTTAAGTACATTTATTCTGCGGATATTGACCTTAATGATGCAAATGTCCAGGATATATTTGCACTGGCCAGTCGTTTCCAAATCCCTTCAGTGTTCACAGTGTGTGTCACTTACCTACAGAGGCGACTGTCACCTACCAATTGTCTTGCTATCTTCCGACTAGGCCTTCTCCTGGACTGCCCAAGACTTGCCATCACTGCACGGGACTATGTTTGTGATAGGTTTAGCCAGATTTGTAATGAAGAAGATTTTCTTCAGTTAGCCCCACATGAACTAATAGCTGTCATCTCCAGCGATGCCGTAAATGTTGAAAAGGAAGAGGCTGTCTTTGAGGCCGTGATGAAATGGGCCAGGACAGACAAGGAAAACAAAACCAAGAGTATTGTGGAGGTCTTTGATTGCATCCGGTTCCGCTTGATGCCCGAAAAATATTTCAAGGATCAGGTAGAAAAGGAAGAGCTGCTCAAGGGAAATGCTGATATACAGAAAAAGATCAAGGCTATTAAAGATTCCTTTGCTGGCAAATTACCAGAGCTTTCCAAGGAGAAGGCAGACGGTGATGTTGGTGATGAAGATTTACTTCCTGGATATCTGAATGACATTCCTAGGCATGGCATGTTCGTCAAAGATCTGATCATTATGGTCAGTGACACAGCAACAGTAGCTTATGATCCCCTAGAAAATGAGTGCTACTTGGTGGCCTTGTCTGAGCAGATCCCGAGGAATCATTCCAGCATAGTTTCCAAATCTAATCAGGTTTATGTGGTTGGTGGACTATATGTAGATGAAGAAAATAAAGATCAACCATTGCAGTCCTACTTCTTCCAGGTATGTAGTCACAGCTTTTTTTAATTTTGCATTTAGGCCTCAAAACAGTGTTAAACCCAGGATCAAAAATGTAATATATTGCAGCATACCAATGATTAGATGTGGTGTCTGCATTAGTTTTCTTTTTTTAGGATTTTTTCACTTGATGATCTGGCTATTAAAGTGGAACTCCACCTAAAGGGGAAGTTCTGCTCGTCTGCCTCCTCCCCCCTCCACTGCCACATTTGGCACTTTTTTTGGGGGGGAGCGAGTACCTCGTTTTGACAGGTGCCCGCTCCCACTTCTGGGTCAGATTGACACAGCTATCTGAGCCAGAAGTTCGCCCCCCCCCCCCCCCCCAAATCCCTGCAGCCTTCTGGGACCTGTGAAGAGTGACTCGGCCCATTTACACGCTTTGCGCATGCGCAGTTGGAGGCCAGCTGTGAAGCAGCAAAGCTTAACTGCCGGTTTCCTTTACTTAAGATGCCAGCACCAACACCCAAGATGATTGAAGAATCAGCTCAGGTGTGGACATCGTTGGACCCCTGGACATGTAAGTGCCCTCATAGTAATATTATATTATTGACTTTTAATTTTTTGGGAGGAGCCCGGAGCTCCACTTTAACACAACTGTCCTATATTAGAGTGACTACACTCTGGACGAAGGAGCACAGGGGCACCTTTGGACAGGAGCATTGTTAGTCTGGGGGGAGGTGAGTGTTAGATGCACTAGCAGATTTAGATACACTAACACATTAAATCTCCTGCTAACACTTTATAAGCAGTTACAACCAGGGGCGGACTGACAACTCATGGGGCCCCCGGGCAATAGGGGATCATGGGGCCCCTGTGTCCTTGCCCAAACTCAAAAAAGCCTATGAAAAAGGTACCAGGGGCATCTCATGGGGCCCCCTTCTGACCCCGGGCCCTCGAGCAGTGCCCGAGTTTCCAAATGGTCAGTCCGCCCCTGGTTACAACCCATTTTTTTTTTATTCTTTTGGGATAAAGGTTGTACATAAATACACAGAAGCTCATTTAAAAGATCATTGTAAGCACCCCTGTCAGTAATAAATGTTTTTTTTTTTTATGGTTGAACTAGATGGACTTTTGTCTTTTTATTTTTTCAGCCAGACTAACAATGTAACTATGTAACTATGTCTCGACTCTGTAACTAGGACAGCTTGTTCTGGTGAAAATAAATAGAAAGAAAGCCTAAAAAAGAAAACTAACGCAGCCATCACATCTTTTGTATTGAATTTGAATTGGTAAGATACAATATAATAAATGTTTGCTTTTGGTTTTAACACCACCATAAAGGTTTTTTTTAAGTGATTGTAAAGCTTTTTAATCTTTTTTTTATTAAAATATTAAACATGTCATACTTACCTGCTCTGTTCAGTGGTTTTGCACAGAGCAGCCCGATCCTCTTCTTCTGGGATCCCCCGCCAGTGCTCCTGGCTCCTCCTCTTCGGCAAGTTCCCCCATAGGAAACTGCTTTCTATGGGGGCACTCGTGCAGGCTTGATCCCGAGTCACCCTGTCTGCATCTATAGACACAGACAGCTCAGCCCCACTCCTTGCTCCCTCATCACAAAATTTGATTGACAGCAGTGGCAGCCAATGGATCCCACTGCTGTTGATCTTCTCTGTGAGGAGGGAGAGAACAGAGAGATGCTGCTCACGTGCACAGTGCTTGATCAAGATTGGGCTCAGATAAGTATAGGAGGGGTAAAAAAACCTTTAGGCTTTAGAACCACTTTAAAAAACCAACTTGTCACATCTCCTTGCTCCCCTTTTCCTCCATACTCCTTGAACACCTGGTCTATTACCAACTGAGTGGCCACCTCATCAAGAATAACCTTTTTGATCCCCTTCAGTCTGGATTTCGCCCTCAACACTCCACAGAAACTGCTCTCCTAAAACTCACAAATGATTTACTAACAGCAAAAAAAACAATGGACACTATTCGGTACTCCAACTTCTGGACCTCTCAGCTGCCTTTGATACGGTTTACTAACCCCTCTTCAAAAAAAAAACTTTACTCCCTTGGTATCCGTGACTGTGCTCTTTGTTGGTTCTCATCCTACCTATCTCACTGCACCTTCAGGGTCGCTTACAATTCTACCTCATCCTCTCCTCTTCCTTTTTCCATTGAGGTCCCCCAAGGTTCTGTTCTTAGACCTCTCCTATTCTCAATCTACACCTCCTCCTCCCTGGGTCAGCTGACAACACCCAAATCTATCTCTCAACCCATCAGCTCACAACAGTCTCCTCACGTATCAATCACTTACTGACTGACATATCAGCCTGGATGTCACACCACTTCCTCAAACTCAATCTATCCAAAACTGAGCTCATAATATTTCCTCCCCTACGTGCCCCTTCCCCTGACTTCTCTGTCAAGATCAATGGCAAAACCATCAACCCATCCCCCTATACCAAGGTATGTTAGGTATAATCCTGGACTCTGAACCCTCCTTTCGGCCCCACATCCAATCACTTTTCAAAGCTTGCTGTCTCAACCTCTGCAACATCTCCGAAATACGCCCCTTCCTAACTGATGACACCACAAAGCTCCTAATTCACTCCTAGGTTATCTCTTGACTACTGCAACGCTTTCCTCATTGGCTTACCTTTACATAGGCTATCCCCCCTCCAGTCCATCATGAATGCTGCTGCCAGACTCATCCACCTTACCAACCATTCAGTGTCTGCTACCCCTCTCTGCTATTCCCTCCATTGGCTGCCATTCACCCAACAAATTAAATTCAAAATACTACCAACAACGTACAAAGCCATCCACAACTCGGCCCCCAGCTACATCACTAACCTAGTCTCAAAATACCAACCAAATCACCCACTTCATTCCTCCCAAGACCTCCTGCTCTGTAGTTTACTTGTCACCTCCTCCCATGCTCACCTGCATGACTTCTCCCAAGCCTCTCCCATCCTATGGAATTTCCTACCCCAATCTGTCCAACTATCTCCTAGTCTGTCCACTTTTAGGCGATCGTTGAAAACTTTTTTCTTCAGAGAAGCTTATCGTGCCTTCACCTAACAACTGTACATGCATTTCTTCATTGGCTCATCTCCTACAGTTATTACCTTTGGTATCACTTGACCCTCCCCTTTTAGATTGTAAGCTATAATGAGCAGGGCCCTCTGATTCCTCTTGTATTCAATTGTATTGTAACTGTATTGTTTGCCCTCACATTGTAAAGCGCTGCGCAAACTGTTGGCGCTATATAAATCCTGTATAATAATAATAATCTTATTATTTTGACACAATATAAATATTTAACTTTTAGCTCAATGGCTTCTTCACAGACCATTACAGACATAAGGCAAAAACGATTTCTAGAATATCTGTTTCAAATGTGGTCTTTAAATAGCCCTAAAGTGGAACTAAAGAAACAGCAGCCCTCTGGAACATCTGCCATATTATACAAGTATGCACAAAATACTTGCACCTTATGGCAGACATTTGGCCTCCTCCAGCGATGCAAGATCTGTGCTCCCCATTGTTATGCTGTCCACCTCCACTGCCCTCTTCTGGTCCTATTGTGGCCCAGTGTCTTCTTTGTTTAGGCTACTGGATAGTTGCTCAGATGCATGCAGGCTGAGTGAAAATCTCCCATGGCAAAACAGACAAACAGAAATATATTATATATATATATATATATATATATATATATACATATATATATATATAAAATATATATACACAGTATATATATTATAGCCACGCCATGACAGACTCTCTGCATCATCACGTCCTGATTGAAACCTCTCACCCCCCTGTCTGACCAGTACTCCGCTCACCCTAACACGCCACCTACACTCCTCCTCCTGGTTTTCCTCTCCTCCATTCCCAAAATCGCCCCCCTCTATCTCCCTACTCCCCCAAAACAGCTCTACATTGCTCCTTCACTCCTTCCTTCTCACCACTACGGCTCTCACCACCTCCTCCTGATACTCCACTCTCCCGCCGACCCACACGCCACCACTAACAGATCCACACGTTCCTGCACATCACATTCCCATGCCAACTTCCTCACCCTTCTCCTCCTAACCGCCGGGGACATCTCCCCGAACCCTGGCCCCCCACCTCCCCACTCCCCCTCTCGGCACCCCCCTGCTCCCGCCAGCCGCCGCAACCCCCTCAACCTTATACCCATCCCCCTCCTCCCCGCATCCACCCCTCCTCTCTCAGTTGCACTCCTGAACGCCCGTTCGGTTTGCAACAAGCTCACCGCCATCCATGACCTCTTTGTCTCCCACTCCCTCAACCTCCTAGCGGTCACCGAAACCTGGATCCAAGCCACTGACTCCACCTCCCCTGCAGCACTCACCTATGGAGGCCTCGTCTAGACCCACTCACCCAGACCGAGTGGTCGCAGAGGCGGTGGGGTCAGCATGCTCCTGCCACCGCTAAGCACCTTCCAGGTCCTCCCTAACCCCCCCTCCCTATCCTTCTCCTCCTTCGAAGCCCACTGCATCCGGCTCTTCTCTCCCACCCCCCTGAGGATTGCAGTAATCTACCAGCCTCCTGGATCCGTATCCCTCTTCCTGGACGACTTTGCCGCCTGGCTTCCCTTCTTCCTCTCCTTCGAGCTACCTGCCATCATCCTCGGAGATTTTAACATCCCCATCAACGTCAACAACCCGGCTACTTCCCAACTCCTCCTCCTAACCTCCTCTTTTGCGCTCACACAGCACACACAGTCCTCCACCCACACTGATGGGAACACCCTGGACCTTGTTTTCTCCCACCTCTGCACCCTCCATAACTGCACTAACACCCCCTTCCCCCTCTCTGACCACCACCTCCTCACGTTTTCCATCTCTCACTCCTCTAACCCCCCCCCCAAAGCGTCAAACCATCACCAGCCGTAACCTCCGCAACCTGAACCCGGCCCATCTCCACCCGGCAGCTGACCGTCTGTACGACAGTATCCTTCCACTGTCATGCCCTGACCTGGCCACTACTGCATACAACGACTCACTGTCGGCTGCCCTCGACTCCCTGGCACCCCTAACCACGCGTAACATCAGACCCCGACCGCTTCAACCCTGGCAGAAGGACCATACGAAATGTCTCAAACGACGCAGTCGCGTGCTGGAGCAATTATGGCGCAAAGCCAGATCCCCTCGTGCATTCTCCCTCTACAAATCCGCCTTCCTCACCTTCACCACCTCCCTCCACGCCGCCAAGCAAGCCTATTTCGTAACCCTCATCAACACCCTCTCCACCTGTCCTCGCTGGCTCTTCTCCACTTTCAAATCCCTGCTCTCTCCCCCCCCCTACCTCCACTCAGTACCTCACTCACCGCCCACGAGATTGACAATCATTTCCAAAACAAGATTGATGCAATCCGTAAGGACATTGTCAATTCACAATCTACCTTTCCACCTAGCCCCTCTCCCTCCATCACCCCCTCACCTCTCCCCTCCTCTGACCTCGTAACCGCACTGCCCCCCACCATACCTAACGCCCCGCACACTATCACCTCCCCCCAACGCTCCGCTCCTTCAGCCCTGCTACCACTGAGGAGGTCACTAAGGTCTTCACTGAAGCCTGCCTCACCACTTGCCCCCTGGACCCTATCCCCTCACAACTCCTCCAGTCACCCCCCTCCTCCATCATTCTCTCCCTCTCTACTGGCACATTCCCCTCCCCCTAAAGCACGAACACATCACCCCCAAACTCAAAAAAACCCTCCTTGACCCCACTGACCTAAACAACCTTAGACCCATCTCCCTGCTACCATTCACTTCCAAGCTCCTTGAGCGCTTAGCCTACAATCGCCTAAGCACCCATCTCACTGATAACAACCTCCTTGATCCACTACAGTCTGACTTCCGTCCCCTACACTCCACCGAAGCCGCCCTACTTAAAATCACTAACGACCTGCTAACCGCCAAAGCTAATGGCCATTACTCAGTCCTCCTGCTCCTCGACCTCTCCGCGGCCTTCGACACAGTCAACCACCCCTCCTCCTTACCAAACTGCACTCCTTTGGCATCAGGGACGCTGCTCTCTCCTGGTTCTCCTCCTACCTATCCCAATGCTCCTTCAGCGTCACCTATAACGCTGCCACCTCCCCCTCTCTCCCCCCTCTCTGTTGGAGTCCCCCAAGGCTCTGTCCTCGGACCTCTCCTCTTCTCCATCTACACCTCCTCCCTTGGCAAACTGATACACTCCCAGGGCTTCAACTATCACCTCTATGCCGACGACACACAAATTTACCTCTCCACCCTTCACCTCACCCCCTCTTTCTCCGCCCGCATCGCCCACCTCCTGAACGACATATCAGACTGGATGTCGCTCCATTTCCTCAAGTTAAACTGTCCAAAACCGAGCTCCTGGTTTTCCCCCCAGCCCGCGCTCCCCCCCCATCCTCTCCATCACGACTAGCAACGCCACCATCAATCCCACCCCACACGCCAAAGTCCTGGGTGTCACCCTGGACTCAAACCTTTCCTTCCAACCTCATGTCCAATCACTATCAAAATCATGCAGGTTTCACCTCCGCAACATCTCCAAGATACGTACGTTCCTCACCCCAGACACTACTAAACAACTAATACACTCCCTCATGATCTCACGCCTGGACTACTGCAACTCCCTTCTCACTGGCCTACCCAAACAAACGCTATCCCCACTCCAGTCTATCCTGAACTCAGCGGCTAGACTCATCCACCTCACCAACCCCTCCATATCTGCCAACCCCTCTGCCAATCCCTTCACTGGCTCCCGATTGCCCAGCGCATCAAATTCAAATTACTAACTCTGACCTACAAAGCCATTCACAACGCCGCCCCAAACTACCTAACTGACCTGATACCCAATACCACCCTACCCGTGCCCTCTGCTCCTCACAGGACCTCCTACTCTCTAGCTCCCTGGTCTCCTCCTCCCACGCCTGACTCCAGGACTTCTCCAGGACTTTCCCCATCCTCTGGAACTCCCTACCCCAATCCATCAGACTGTCACCTTCAGGCGCACCCTGAAAACCCATCTCTTCAGGGAAGCCTACCCCACCCTCAGCTAACAACCGATCTCCTCCACTCCTCCCACCACTCCATCCCCCACAGCCACTTCCTCCTGTACCACTATCCCCTCCCTCCTAGATTGTAAGCTCGAAAGAGCAGGGCCCTCGAACCCCTCGTGTATTGTATTGTTACTGTATTGTCTCATGTTCTGTCCCCCTCGCTATTGTACAGCGCTGAGCAAACCATTTGGCACTATATAAATACTATAATAAATATAAATATAATAATAATGATAATAATAATAGCGCAAGGAAGGTCTGGAACCTCAGACAGCTTTTTTTTTTGCAGTCTGTCCCTGTTGCCGAAAAAAAAAGAAAAAAGGTCCAGATGTTGTAACCTTTATATTTTATCTTTGATCAGTATAGCAGTACATGTTGAATCAAAAAAGACCAATATCAGCTCACTGTCACATTATAAAATCAGGCTTTGAATGACTTTTGATTGACTCAGACTTTTCTTTTTCTCAGCTTTGCTAAATCTGCCCCATTGTTAGCTTAGGTACCTGTTAGGTGACTGATACCTGTCAGATTTATCAGTCTTGACAATGATCATAATGTCAGTGGGATCCCTAAACTTCAATATCTATATAAATGAAGGATCAGAGCTCTTGTCAGGTTTTTTTGCCATTGGTGTCTCTGTTAGGCTCCATTTGCACAGGTGTTTAGCTTATCATTGTTCAAGTTCTATGGCCGCAGCTATATGCACATAGCTGTCAATCTCAGCCACAAGAATCAGTAGATTCACATTGTGGCTAGACATCCATGAGTGAAGACTTAGGGAGATTTACCCTTACTTTCTAACAGGACGGTAGGTTATGGGAAATCTCTCCAATGAGAAGCAAACAAAATAAAAACATATCATTAGTTGAATTGAGTGGGGAAGGCTGGAATATCTGATAAGGTTTTGATTGCTGTCTATGCCTTCCTGTCCAGGGGATGTCCATTCCACCCGTTTTTTTATTAAATGTCTTAGAGTCAGGAAATTAGGGGAAATCTCCCCAATGGGGTCACAGGCAAAAATAAGAACTATCCAAAATTGTTTAATTCTCCACAGCATCTTAAGCAATGACTGGTGTTAGACTTTAAAGTCAACATTTATTTTTATAGAGTGGTGAGGGGTTAAAACCAGGTTTATATTCCTCCCTCTGTAGCCAGACGTAGTGACATAATGCTCTGTTACTGGCCCAAACACTGCTGAACCTGTCATAATGGAAAGGGTTTCTTGCTGCCTCAGCTACAGAAGGAGAAATTCCATAAGGACAAACAGACAACCTCATAGCAAATTGTGAGCAGCAGTATCAGTTCTGGCCATGTCACACTATCTGGTGTGCTTGTGCAGTATATCTATGCAACTTCAAATTTCTGGTGCGCTATAGTCATTAACATACATAAGACAACATGAGTAGTTACTGAAGCTGGCGGTTCTTTTTCTAGTTCTAGATGCTGCAAAAACTCAGTCTCTCAGTATAACACATGTAACATTGGATGTGACCTTTTATTTTAATACATCATACCACAATTCCAGGTGATTTTGGTCACTTCTGTAAGAGTACATTTTGGTGCCATTCAAAATCAATAACAAAATAACACACCATGCTGCGATTATCACATTAAATGTAATTCTGACCTTAAATTTGACAGATGTATCTGTAATTTTAAATTTCAGAATAAATGGATACCAACTCCTTTTTTGCAGTTATAGTAACATGCAAACATGCAGTGATATAATGTGATGCAAGGCCCCATGGCAAAACCATTAAGGCTCCCCAACTTCTCTGATCTCCAAGACAGTTCCTGTCAATAGCACACATTTTTTATTTTGTATTTCAAAGCAAATGTATAGAGCAAAGGTCTCCAAACTATTTAGAAAAAGGGCCAGTTTACTGTCATACTTTAAGGGGGCTGGACTGTGGCCACTGGGATTAGAAAATTCAGAGAAGGAATAGTGTCCCATGGTTGGTATCAGTGTAAAGAATAGTGCCTAATCATTGGTGTCAGTGAGAGAAATAGTGCCGCATGGCTGGTATCATTGGGAGTAGTAGTGCCTCATCATCTGTGACAGTGGGAGGAATTATACCTCACTGTTGGTGTCAGTGGAAAGAATGGTGCCTTATCGCTTATGTCAGTGGGAGGAAAAGTGCCTCATTGCTTGCGTCAGTGGGAGGAAAAATGCCTCATTGCATGTGTCAGTGGGAGGCAAAGTGCCTCTTATCAGTGGGAAGAATAGGGCTCCAAGGGCCGGATAAAAGGTAGGCAAAGTTCAGCATCTGGCCAGCGGGCTGCAGTTTGGAGAGCACTGGTATAAAGGTTCCAAAACCACAAATATATTTATTTTATCCAAATAAAATAGTAAAATGCTATTGCTAAATGCATAGATCACTACTATGTAATCAGACAGCTTTGGGCCCCCAGTGCTTCAGGGCCCCATAGCAGTCACAGAATTTGCTATAACCATAGTGCACATATGAAGGAGAACTGATATGGGGATTAGAATAAACATCATTCCAAAATAAATGAAGAATAAAATTGGGGCAATGCCTATCTGTTTTATCCTCTATCTTTGTAATATCCAGTTTTTTTTCGAAATGACAGGATTACAGGTGGAGATTTCACTAGTTATCTTCCAGCATTCTTTGTGATCATTTCTGACATGATGACTTTCTATATTTCAGTTGGACAGCATTGGAGGTGAATGGATTGGACTCCCACCTCTTCCATCAGCCAGATGTCTCTTCGGCCTGGGTGAGGCAGATAACTGTATCTATGCCATTGCTGGCAAAGACCTGCAATCTGAAGAGTCACTGGACACAGTGTTCTGTTATGATGCTAAGTATGCTGTTTATAGATACTAAGCTCTTTATAATGTGACATATTAATGAATGGATATTAAGTTTCTTCTTCTGGTTTCAGAGCCGTAACCTGGAAAGAAGCAAAGAAACTCCCAGTCAAGCTTTATGGACATTCTGTGGTGTCACATAATGGGCTCATCTATAGTCTTGGAGGGAAGACAGATGACAAGTAAGTGACATGTCTTTTTGAATAATTAACCAGAACACTATCTGTCTACCATTAGCACTTACTAAGATCCTATCAATGCTGCTGAGAAATTGTGTCTTATTTCTTAAAGCACCAGCCCTTACAAAAGGTATACTATTGTTATCATTAAAACATAATAGGATTTGTCTGCCAATTAATTCCTATATGTCTAAGATACACCAAATGTAAGATCTCGTTGCCAGAACTTTCAACTTTGTTCCTGTCCACCTTGGGATTCTGTGGGCTCTTTAACACTAGCAGTAAGGTTTAACTCCCTCTGAAAAGTGATTCACTGTTGATCACCGTTTTTTTTTTTCAACTTCAAATCAGCAATTTTAGATTGCGGGACTGTGTAATAACTGAGAGCCAGGCATTTGTGGTGCAGCTCCATTGATCTTATTGGGCGAGTTTGACAGGCGGTGCCTCTAGTCAAACATTGCAACCAGAGTTAAAATTACAGCGGCTGTGATGCTTTGCTTGCAACTGTACAACCAAGTCAGTCTGTAATGTCAGATTTCTGGTGAATGGCGTTTTACTGTCCTCTGGCCGCTATGTGTTCTACATAGTATAAAATAAAAATAATATAAGAAAGATAGAGGAGACCGCTCACAATGGCCACATTAAGTATGCAGCCCAGGGATGAGCTGGGATTCTATCCAAACTGGGCTAGGTACGAACCTGGAAGTTAGCTGAATTGCTAATCCAATGAGCTGCTGGTGAGACCTTCTCCAACACAAAAGCTGCACGTATACAAAAGGACATACTTGTGACATCATTGACTTAATATAACCACATGGCCATGTTAGGACAATGATATTTGTCACTTGCAGCTGCGGGGGGAGGGGGGGTTTCTAGCCTGCAACTCCTTGCACTGGTATCTTATCCCTGGGGGCAAACTCACCTACAGATGGGAGGAATAGTGCCCCATAATTGGTGTCAGTTGGTGGAATAGTGCACCAAGGGCCAGATACAGACAAGCAAAGAACCACATACAGCTGCAAGGCCGCAGTTTGGAGACCACTGCCATAGACAAAAGAGGCAGTAAAAAAAAAAATATATATATATATATATATATATATACAGTATCTCACAGAAGTGAGATTACATTACATTTACATTTTTGTAAATATATTTGATTCTATCTTTTTATGTGACAACACTGAAGAAATGACACTTTGCTACAATGTAAAGTAGTGAGTGTACAGCTTGTATAACAGTGTAAATTTGTTGTCCCCTCAAAATATCTCAACACACAGCCATTAATGTCTAAACCGCTGGCAACAAAAGTGAGTACACCCCTAAGTGAAAATGTCCAAATTGGGCCCAATTAGCCATTTTCCCTCCCCGGTGTCATGTGACTCGTTAGTGTTACAAGGTCTCAGGTGTGAATGGGGAGTAGGTGTGTTAAATTTGGTGTTATCGCTCTCACTCTCTCATAGGGGTCACTGGAAGTTCAACATAGCACCTCATGGCAAATAACTCTCTGAGGGTCTGAAAAAAAAAATTGTTTTACATAAGGATGGCCTAGGCTATAAGAAGATTGCCAAGACCCTGAAACTGAGCTGCAGCACAGTGGCCAAGACCATACAGTAGTTTAACAGTATAGGTTCCACTCAGAACAGGCCTCACCATGGTCGACCAAAGAAGTTGAGTGCACGTGCTCAGCGTCATATCCAGAGGTTGTCTTTGGGAAATAGACATATGAGTGCTGCCAGCATTGCTGCAGAGGTTGAAGGGATGGGGGGGTCAGCCTGTCAGTGCTCAGACCATACACCGCACACTGCATCAAATTGGTCTGCATGGCTGTTGTCCCAGAAGGAAGCCTCTTCTAAAGATGATGCACAAGAAAGTCCGCAAACAGTTTGCTGAAGACAAGCAGACTAAGGACATGGATTACTGGAACCATGTCCTGTGGTCTGATGAGACCAAGATAAACTTATTTGGTTCAGATGGTGTCAAGCGTGTGTGGCGGCAACCAGGTGAGGAGTGCAAAGACAAGTGTGTCTTGCCTTCAGTCAAGCATGGTGGTGGGAGTGTCATGGTCTGGGGCTGCATGAGTGCTGCTGGCACTGGGGAGCTACAGTTCATTGAGGGAACCATGAATGCCAACATACTATGACATACTGAAGCAGAGCATGATCCTCTCCCTTCGGAGACTAGGCCACAGGGCAGTATTCCAACATGATAACGACCCCAAACACACCTCCAAGATGACCACTGCCTTGCTAAAGAAGCTAAGGGTAAAGGTGATGGACTGGCCAAGCAGGTCTCCAGACCTAAACCCTATTGAACATCTGAGGGGCATCCTCAAACGGAAAGTGGAGAAGGTCTCTAACATCCACCAGCTCTGTGATGTCATCATGAGGAGTGGAAGAGGACTCCAGTGGCAACCTGTGAAGCTCTGGTGAACTCCATGCCCAAGAGGGTTAAGGCAGTGCTTGAAAATAATGGTGGCCACACAAAATATTGACACTTTGGGCCCAATTTGGACATTTTCACTTAGGGGTGTACTCACTTTTGTTGCCAGCGGTTTAGACATTAATGGCTGTGTGTTGAGTTATTTTGAGGGGACAGCAAATTTACACTGTTATACTCACTTCTGTGAAATAATGTTTATAGAAATGCTAAACTTTGCTTACTTGCTCCCTTTTGATCTGTTGAATATCCTATTGCAAGCATTTTGTTATAAAAGCATGAGCAAACCATAGGTTTGGGAATATTGTATTGCATATAGCGCAAATCTTTGGGTAAATGTTCAGAAACACTCATTAATATGCTGATATTTTATACAACAGATTGGCATATAGGGGTTGTAAAATTGTATTTTGAGTGTGCATTCTGTGATGCACTTTAATGGTGGAGACACTTGCTTCGAATCCACAAACAGTCAAATAGCCATAACTTGCTTTTCGAATGAATTAGATCAGTTTAAATCAGATTCGATTATACTCAGTCGATCAGCCAGGGTGAAAAATTATTGATAGTTTTGTATCAATCGGCAGTATTGAGATACTTTGTTAAAGAAATAAAATTGTGATCAGATTAAGAGCTTACATGGTGGAAACAGAAGACGTGATCGATAACTATCTGCGCTGTGGCCACGTACAAACTGGACGCTAAGCTGTGACCAGAAACAGGATCCCTGGGCGCAGTGTTTCTGCATCCTGGACTGGTCAGAGTCGCTAATCACATGTATCCTCTTAGAGTATGTGGCACCACCCATTCAATTGTACTGGGTGCAGATCTGGCTTTGACTGTTTGCACATGCTGGGGTTGATTTACTAAAGACAAATAGACTGTGTACTCTGCAAACGCAGTTGCACTAGTTTTGCTTAGTAAATGTAATGTGGTAAAGCTTCACTTTGTAGAGAATACCCAATCAGGTGCAAGGGGAAAAAAAAAAAAGCTCTGGGGAAAATGCGTTCAACTACACTTGCAAAGTGCACAGACTATTTTCCTTTAGTAAATTCACCCCACTGCATGCATGGAGCTATTTTCTTCTCTGGCAAGAATTGCTCTGTCAGGGAATAAGCCCTAAAGTAACAGGAAGCACCAAGACGCTCCAGGAATTCTCCACCTCTTTTGCATTCAGAATAGAGCAGATGCAAAAAGATATTATCACACTGAACCACCTGTCGCCTTCTTCATTAGTGAACATGTTATATCAGCACCTTATTATTACAGGCTTGTAAATTTGCTCAAGTGACTGGACTCGTTCAGTAAAGGACGGTTGTGATAACTATTCTTGAGTTAAAAATCTAATTGCTACTTATTAGCACTGCCCAACCTCGGATATATTTTATGCTAAGTGCATGCATGCTAAATAATGTGGAAGTGTAACACTTATTGTAGCTCACAAGGATCCCAGTATTCCCCTTGACAATCCCTTCATCTGCTTTTCTCATCAGAAGGTTGGAGTCATCGATGTTTGGCTTCTACTTTCTGGATTGAGGTGCTGGCTCAAAGCTAACATGGTCATTTAAATCTTGGTACCTGTGCAGTACTTGGTCTAGTCCACATATGTTTGATACAGATGGGTTTTTAAATTAATAATGTGATATTAACAAGGTCTAGTGTAGTGTAACACTTTTGACAGTTATGTACTGCATTTATTATAGACGTCTACACATCTGAGGAAGAAATAGGGACATAGAGATTTGGTTCCAAAACAGGGACTATCCCTCCAAATGAGGACAGTTGGGAGGTATAGACTTACTATTATTATTATTAAGTTTAATATGTTTCTCAGACAATGGGGGGGACAATACATACTACATGGACTGGGAGGGGGGAGAGTAAGGAAATGCTCCTCCTGCCTGCAGCAGACTGATGATATCACCTTAGCCCAGGCAAAGTCACTTGACTAGAGCTCAAGGACTGATTTTAATCATACAGCTTTTTTGTTTATTTTTTTTGTAACTATACCTTCGCTGTGTACTGTGACACATCCAAAATGTATTCATGTACACTTCTAAAGTTAGTGGTCCAGTTTAAGCAAAGTCTATGTGGCATTGCTAGTATTAGAATAATAAGATTTTACTTTTTAAGAACTTTGTTTTTGTTAAGAATGACTTGCTAATGGCCACATAATAATGAATGAGCTCACAAAATGTCTACCTGGACTGTTTGTTGGCACAGTGCCTCGTGCCTCAGTGATTTCACTGGTTCCTTGGGAAATGCTATGCTTAAGACACCTTCGACCATACCCATACCTAAGTATTTACACTGCTCAAAAAAAATTAAAGGAACACTTTGAAAACACATGCTGGATATCTATACTGATATGGACTGGGTAATGTGTTAGGAATATAACTATGTCCCATCGTTTGATGGAAATGAAAATGATCAACCCACAGAGGACTGAATTTATAGACACCCTAAAAATGGTCCTTGTCACGGATCCACGCCGCCACCAACAGGCGACAATCGCACGACCGCAACTAACAGTAATACGTCACGCCCACGGCGTCAGACCCCAGACC